TTAAAAAAAAAAGCATATTTACCCTGCCATGCATTTACAGTGGCCAGTCACAATGTTGCCATCTTTTTTGTTGATGGCTACCCAAGCCTCATGCGGGTTGTCCGACGATCTCTGTGAAGGGTTTATGCTTGCTTTAATGACACAAACGTTTGTGTTGACGGAAAAATACATGCAGGTGCGCACAAAGCCACTGTTGAAATAGTTGTATGCTTCCAAACTTTTGTAAGTTTTGAGTTTTTCTTTGGTGAACACACCAGGGGTGTCCAACAAGTACATACACAGATCGGGGAATTCTGTTGGGGGCCACAACTTTACATTGTCTTTCCAATCTGTCACTGGAATTTCAAACGGACATACGCTGATCTGTATTAATTTAAGCCTCTCTGTGTACCTTTCTGATGATTCTTTATCCAAACTTGAGCGGTAATTACTTGTTTTTGTCGATTGTTTACACCTGCTAATGGTCGTCATTGCCTCATTCGATTCACAGTGAACTCTCAACTCGCGGAGTCGCCGAGTCTCGCGAGTTGCCGTCCAGTGTGCGGCCCAGTAAATCGTGACGTCACGCGATACCCAAGTATACACTTATCTTCATTCAATTCCACAGTAGTCTTAGACTTAGTGTTAGGTATACACACATGTAATTGCAACTCTTTTTTTTTTTATCAAATATGGTACACAAAAACCTCCCTCTGTGTCTCTCTAATGAGGAGACTGATGCATGGTGTCCACATAGAAATGTGCAACTAGAAATGCGGGGTTTGATACAAGAAATAAATTAAGTTGGGTTCGATTTTTTCGACATCAAGAGCTTTCTTCCCTTCTCGTAAACTTAATAATAAAAAAAAGTACTGGGGTGGTATTTTTACCGAAAGTCGACCAAACCACTTAAAACATTACTTGTAAAGTTACTCTGAATACCTTATAATAAGTTTAGGTCCAAATATAGCTGTAGTCAATGCTAAGGACAACGTGATCTCTTAATTGATGTACGTAGAGACTGATGGTGTCCACATACAGTAGATAACAACCTCCCTTTATGTCTCTTTGATGTACAGACTGATGGGGTCCACATACGGTACATAACAACCTGCTTCTATGTCTCTTTGATGTACTGACTGATGGTGTCCACATACGGTACGTAACAATCTCTTTCTATGTCTCTTTGATGTACAAACTGATGGTGTCCACATACGGTAGATACAATCTCCTTCTATGTCTCTTTGATGTGCAGACTGATGGTGTCCACATACGGTGCATAACAACCTCCTTCTATGTCTCTTAGGTGTAGAGACTGATGGTGTCCACATATGGTACATAACAACCTCCTTCTATGTCTCTTCGATGTAGAGACTGATGGTGTCCACACACGGTACATAACAACCTCCTTCTATGTCCCTTTGATGTACAGACTGATGGTGTCAACAGACGGTACATAACAATCTCCTTCTATCTCTCTTTGATGTACAGACTGATGGTGCCCACATACGGTACATAACAACCTCCCTCTATGTCTCTTTGATGTAGAGACTGATGGTGGCCACATACGGTACATAACAACCTCCCTTTATGTCTCTTTGATGTAGAGACTGATGGTGACCACATACGGTAGATAACAATCTCCTACTATGTCTCTTTGATGTACAGACTGGTGGTGTCCACATACGGTACATAACAGCCTCCTTCTATGTCTCTTTGATGTAAACTGATGGTGTCCACATACGGTAGATAACAATCTCCTTCTAAGTCTCTTTGATGTACAGACTGATGGCGACCACATACGGTACATAACAACCTCCCTCTATGTCTCTTTGATGTAGAGACTGGTGGTGTCCACATACGGTACATAACAGCCTCCTTCTATGTCTCTTTGATGTAAACTGATTGTGTCCACATACGGTAGATAACAATCTCCTACTATGTCTCTTTGATGTACAGACTGAGGGTGTCCACATACGGTACATAACAATCACCTTCTATGTCTCTTTGATGTACAGGCTGATGGTGTCCATATACGGTACATAACAATCTCCTTCTATCTCTCTTTGATGTACAGACTGATGGGGTCCACATCCGGTACATAACAATCTCCTTCTATGTCACTTTGATGTACAGACTGATTGTGTCTACATACGGTACATAACAACCTTCTTCTATGTCTCTTTGATGTACAGACGGATGGTGTCCACATACGGTACATAATAATCTCCTTCTATGTCTCTTTGATGTACTGACTGATGGTGTCCACATACGGTACTTAACAATCTCCTTCTATGTCTCTTTGATGTGCAGACTGATGGTGTCCACATACGGTAGATAACAGTCTCCTTCTATGTCTCTTTGATGTAAACTGATGGTGTCCACATACGGTCGATAACAATCTCCTTCTATGTCTCTTGGATGTACAGACTGATGGTGTCCACACACGGTACATAACAACCTCCTTCTATGCCTCTTTGATGTAGAGACTGATGGTGGCCACATACGGTACATAACAACCTCCCTCTATGTCTCTTTGATGTAGAGACTGATGGTGGCCACATACGGTACATAACAACCTCCTTCTTTATCTCTTTGATGTATAGACTGAAGGTGGCCACATACGGTACATAACAACCTCCTTCTATGTCTCTTTGATGTACAGACTGATGGTGTCCACATACGGTACATAACAACCTCCTTTTATGTCTCTTTGATAGCCTGAAGGTGTCAAAATATGGTACATAAAAACCTCCTTCTATGTCTCTTTGATGTACAGACTGATGGTGTCCACATACGGTACATAACAACCTCCTTCTATGTCTCTTTGATGTACAGACTGATGGTGTCCACATACGGTACATAACAACCTCCTTCTATGTCTCTTTGATGTACAGACTGATGGTGTCCACATACGGTACATAACAACCTCCTTCTATGTCTCTTTGATGTACAGACTGATGGTGTCCACATACGGTACATAACAACCTCCTTCTATGTCTCTTTGATGTACAGACTGATGGTGTCCACATACGGTACATAACAACCTCCTTCTATGTCTCTTTGATGTACAGACTGATGGTGTCCACATACGGTACATAACAACCTCCTTCTATGTCTCTTTGATGTACAGACTGATGGTGTCCACATACGGTACATAACAACCTCCTTCTATGTCTCTTTGATGTACAGACTGATGGTGTCCACATACGGTACATAACAACCTCCTTCTATGTCTCTTTGATGTACAGACTGATGGTGTCCACATACGGTACATAACAACCTCCTTCTATGTCTCTTTGATGTACAGACTGATGGTGTCCACATACGGTACATAACAACCTCCTTCTATGTCTCTTTGATGTACAGACTGATGGTGTCCACATACGGTACATAACAACCTCCTTCTATGTCTCTTTGATGTACAGACTGATGGTGTCCACATACGGTACATAACAACCTCCTTCTATGTCTCTTTGATGTACAGACTGATGGTGTCCACATACGGTACATAACAACCTCCTTCTATGTCTCTTTGATGTACAGACTGATGGTGTCCACATACGGTACATAACAACCTCCTTCTATGTCTCTTTGATGTACAGACTGATGGTGTCCACATACGGTACATAACAACCTCCTTCTATGTCTCTTTGATGTACAGACTGATGGTGTCCACATACGGTACATAACAACCTCCTTCTATGTCTCTTTGATGTACAGACTGATGGTGTCCACATACGGTACATAACAACCTCCTTCTATGTCTCTTTGATGTACAGACTGATGGTGTCCACATACGGTACATAACAACCTCCTTCTATGTCTCTTTGATGTACAGACTGATGGTGTCCACATACGGTACATAACAACCTCCTTCTATGTCTCTTTGATGTACAGACTGATGGTGTCCACATACGGTACATAACAACCTCCTTCTATGTCTCTTTGATGTACAGACTGATGGTGTCCACATACGGTACATAACAACCTCCTTCTATGTCTCTTTGATGTACAGACTGATGGTGTCCACATACGGTACATAACAACCTCCTTCTATGTCTCTTTGATGTACAGACTGATGGTGTCCACATACGGTACATAACAACCTCCTTCTATGTCTCTTTGATGTACAGACTGATGGTGTCCACATACGGTACATAACAACCTCCTTCTATGTCTCTTTGATGTACAGACTGATGGTGTCCACATACGGTACATAACAACCTCCTTCTATGTCTCTTTGATGTACAGACTGATGGTGTCCACATACGGTACATAACAACCTCCTTCTATGTCTCTTTGATGTACAGACTGATGGTGTCCACATACGGTACATAACAACCTCCTTCTATGTCTCTTTGATGTACAGACTGATGGTGTCCACATACGGTACATAACAACCTCCTTCTATGTCTCTTTGATGTACAGACTGATGGTGTCCACATACGGTACATAACAACCTCCTTCTATGTCTCTTTGATGTACAGACTGATGGTGTCCACATACGGTACATAACAACCTCCTTCTATGTCTCTTTGATGTACAGACTGATGGTGTCCACATACGGTACATAACAACCTCCTTCTATGTCTCTTTGATGTACAGACTGATGGTGTCCACATACGGTACATAACAACCTCCTTCTATGTCTCTTTGATGTACAGACTGATGGTGTCCACATACGGTACATAACAACCTCCTTCTATGTCTCTTTGATGTACAGACTGATGGTGTCCACATACGGTACATAACAACCTCCTTCTATGTCTCTTTGATGTACAGACTGATGGTGTCCACATACGGTACATAACAACCTCCTTCTATGTCTCTTTGATGTACAGACTGATGGTGTCCACATACGGTACATAACAACCTCCTTCTATGTCTCTTTGATGTACAGACTGATGGTGTCCACATACGGTACATAACAACCTCCTTCTATGTCTCTTTGATGTACAGACTGATGGTGTCCACATACGGTACATAACAACCTCCTTCTATGTCTCTTTGATGTACAGACTGATGGTGTCCACATACGGTACATAACAACCTCCTTCTATGTCTCTTTGATGTACAGACTGATGGTGTCCACATACGGTACATAACAACCTCCTTCTATGTCTCTTTGATGTACAGACTGATGGTGTCCACATACGGTACATAACAACCTCCTTCTATGTCTCTTTGATGTACAGACTGATGGTGTCCACATACGGTACATAACAACCTCCTTCTATGTCTCTTTGATGTACAGACTGATGGTGTCCACATACGGTACATAACAACCTCCTTCTATGTCTCTTTGATGTACAGACTGATGGTGTCCACATACGGTACATAACAACCTCCTTCTATGTCTCTTTGATGTACAGACTGATGGTGTCCACATACGGTACATAACAACCTCCTTCTATGTCTCTTTGATGTACAGACTGATGGTGTCCACATACGGTACATAACAACCTCCTTCTATGTCTCTTTGATGTACAGACTGATGGTGTCCACATACGGTACATAACAACCTCCTTCTATGTCTCTTTGATGTACAGACTGATGGTGTCCACATACGGTACATAACAACCTCCTTCTATGTCTCTTTGATGTACAGACTGATGGTGTCCACATACGGTACATAACAACCTCCTTCTATGTCTCTTTGATGTACAGACTGATGGTGTCCACATACGGTACATAACAACCTCCTTCTATGTCTCTTTGATGTACAGACTGATGGTGTCCACATACGGTACATAACAACCTCCTTCTATGTCTCTTTGATGTACAGACTGATGGTGTCCACATACGGTACATAACAACCTCCTTCTATGTCTCTTTGATGTACAGACTGATGGTGTCCACATACGGTACATAACAACCTCCTTCTATGTCTCTTTGATGTACAGACTGATGGTGTCCACATACGGTACATAACAACCTCCTTCTATGTCTCTTTGATGTACAGACTGATGGTGTCCACATACGGTACATAACAACCTCCTTCTATGTCTCTTTGATGTACAGACTGATGGTGTCCACATACGGTACATAACAACCTCCTTCTATGTCTCTTTGATGTACAGACTGATGGTGTCCACATACGGTACATAACAACCTCCTTCTATGTCTCTTTGATGTACAGACTGATGGTGTCCACATACGGTACATAACAACCTCCTTCTATGTCTCTTTGATGTACAGACTGATGGTGTCCACATACGGTACATAACAACCTCCTTCTATGTCTCTTTGATGTACAGACTGATGGTGTCCACATACGGTACATAACAACCTCCTTCTATGTCTCTTTGATATACAGACTGATGGTGTCCACATACGGTAGATAACAACCTCCTTCTATGTCAATTTGATGTACAGACTGATGGTGTCCACATTGGTACATAACGATCTCCTTCTATGTCTCTTTGATGTACAGACTGATGGTGTCCACATACGGTACATAACAACATCCTTCTATGTCTCTTTGATGCAGAGGCTGGTGGTGTCCACTTACAGAGGAGTTTTCGAGTACTGATGATATAACCGATGTTACTTGCCATATGTTGTTAGGAACTTAGAATAGTCAGTTTTACATTATATTGAAACTCTCGTGGTTTGAAAGTTAGTTGTAAGAAGAATAATCAGTTAAATAATATTAGAGATACAAACTGCTTGTCTGATGTTAGACGTTTGCTGTTCCATTTTGAGCGTAGCACTTGCACAGCATTTATGACGCATTTGTTTAGCGTTTGCGTCTAAGCCCCACTCAAAAACCGTCAGTCAGTTGTTGGTTGAAAATTGTACAGAACACCATTTTTAGCAAAATGAAACGTTGCTATATTTCGTTATAATTTAATTTTGCCTACCTCCCCCATAATAATTGTTTTGGTATATATCGTATATACCTAAAACGAAATACAACTGATGACGGAACTACTTTTTACACTTCAGAATGCAAAATTACAACGCAGCTTTTTTTTTAGCGCAATTGTTTAGTTTACGTTAAAATTGAAAAAAATAAATTATAAAGAATGCCCAAGATTTTTTTTCAAAACACTGTTTTCACACTTCGTCTCAGAATTCTAGGATACGGATTGATTGTGTCAAGGAAATTGCTTGTCATAGACAATTCTTTCAGCACATTTTGTAGCACTCCTCCAATGGCCATGTCAGGAAGCTACTGGCGAATAGCATGACTCTATAATGTAGGTCTTTCACTTTAAGTAGGCCAATATGTCAGACCGATTTGAATCTGGACATACATACAGTATCAAGCTAAGCAAGGGCTTCCATCATAATTATAACGCAAGCAATGTCATTCAAACTTTTCTTTCATACTATTTTGACCTAGGGAATGTCTTTTCAAACTTTCATAAATATATCTTTCAATTTGTTGAATTAACGAATACAAATATTTGTCTGAAATAGCCTACACATGTGTATGTGTGCTGTGACTCATATCAGTAGGTCTATAGCATGTGTATTTCAGACATTTGTAACGATTCCCTGTTGATCAGTGCAATGTAACGGACGATATTTCTGATAAATTGCATGTGTGTCAAAATGTTTCCATTGCTGGCATTGGTTATTTCAACCGATGTGCATTTTGTACGATATCGCAGACCTTAGTCTTGTTTTTGTTGTAATAAAAGTACTTAATTTTTTTAATATTGTTTTTTTTTGGCACATTTGCATTGTCAAGTGTCTCACAATGCCCAGCGATGTTGGCGATATTGCTCAGTAAACGTCATGTTTATTGACATTGGATATTGTAGTTCCGGTCGGTGTTTTATTAATACGCTAAGAATTATGTCTCGTGGTGCATGGTATTTAAAGCTCCATCAACGACACAGCTTTCAAATAGCATATATAGTGACAAAGCCATGCAAATGTAAATATACCTCATTGTTCACTAGTAAGAATGTAATAAAAGAGGTCATTTTGCATCTCTGTTAATTTAAAACATAATACGGTCTGTTTATATTAGTGTCTTCAATACAAATTGTATACCATTGCGGTTATATTTGACGTACCTACCTATTAGTAAGTCAAGGTCATTTTCATTCACTCTTTTGGGCTCCATCTGGGGAAAGAAGTGACCTTGAACGTTAGTCAAGGTCATTTATATTCTCAAACTGTCATGCTCCTTCCGACAAAGCTATCGGCTAATTATTATGACTCTAGGCCTTTTTAATCTCCAGAAGTCATTTGATATTTTTGACATATTTGACCCCTGTGACTTTCAAAGTAGGTAAAAGGTTTTTTTGTTTTTTTGTTTTGCAAAATTTGTCAGATCTATCCCAGGAACCTACCAGTTAAAGACTAAGTAGGTGAGCTGAGCAAAATACGACATAGCCATTTGCATATGGTTTGTCCACTCTCTGCACTGGCTACAAGTCACTTGTATAGCTGAAGAAGAGTAATCGGAGTATATAAAAAAAAAGTTCACATAAAGCAATATTTAAGTCATACAAAACAAAGAACCTCATATGTTATGTAATAGTTTATCTCAAGATGTTTGGAAGAAACAATACCTTTAATAGTTTGTACATTTGCAACACATATCAACACAATACAGCATGTGCCTCTTATGTCTCAAAATAAACAAAACCACTCGTCATTCAGTTGGACAATTTGAATTGCAGTCCGTCGTAATCAAATAAGGCAGATCTAACATTCCAATTCTGTTGCAGCTTTGGACACTGAGGTGCACTTCATTTTTACAATGCCTTGTTACACCGACTCCCTCTGCGTCCAATATATACAGGGTAGCACAAACTGTACACATTTATCTCGCAGAACATGCTTTCACAAAATTCAATATTTTTCAAAAAGGCAAATAACATTTTAAAACAATAACAGGGTTTTAATATTGAAGTTTGGACAAAAAGGTAGCACACATGTACTAGTCAAGTTCGAACAAATCTTTTAAACACACATATACACACATACACATTTTCCTCACATACCTTACAAAGTAACAAGCTTGTGGCCAGAAAACATATGGTGTTAACAAAATCAAAATAAACATTTTCAATATTAAATTAAAATTAGAAAGTATATGAGAATTATTACTGTCAACTGTATAATTTATTATGCAAGCTGTAATTTTATTTTGGCAATATTTGTTTGTGCAAACTCAAAGTGCTAATTCAAGTGCAGCCATAAACTATTTTAAAAGTCATATATCAGGGTATTTTATCATATTCAAAGAAAATCTACAAAATATAATGTTAAACTGGCATAATATACAATACCTTCTCACTATGACCTTACAATAGGTAATAAATAACAGTAATCTGACCAATGATTCTAATAACAAGGTAACATTATAATAATACATTACCAATAACTTAATTTAATGATCATGAAACCCTTCGGCCAGCGACCAGTAATCGATGAACAAGATCAGGCACATGACACCCGACTGCTTTATATCACCCATTCAATGAACCTCTTTAGTGTCACACCTTGGTTTGGTATCACACAATCAGTGAATATATCCGAGACAGACTTTGACTAGCATGGATTTTCAATCTAAAAGAAGTTCACAGCAATGAACTAAACCTAGGTTGCACCGATAAATATTATATTTCACAAATATTCTACTTTTCACAATGAACACAGTACTTAATAAAAAAAAATATACAATTCCAGAAACTTTGATATTACAGTTTGGAACACTAAACACGGAGGCTTTAGATTCCATAACTTTTAGGCCAATTATAAGGATTATCATACATTCTGGTTTCATCTTAATCATTGATTTAACAAGGGGACAAATACTTAACAGCATAGAATAAAAAGCTTTGACGGATTCAGGTTATCTTTGGCACACACACACACACAAATCATGTGTAGTATATGTGCAAAGGTAGCTTGTCTCCTTAAATCTCACACTTTATGAGGTTTCATAAAAATATGGACTGAAGCTCAAATGTACTCCAAGGCTTGTCAGGTGGCACAGTGGATAGCGTACTTGCCTTTTAACTAAGGCAGCCAGGGTTCGATTCCCCGATCGGACGTGAAAAGGTGTGAGGTCACCTGCCTGACCATGTGGGTTTTCTCCCATATTAAGACCCCCTGTGCACTAACATTTGAGCAAAGAAGAGTGATTAATATAAGTTGAGAGGAAATAACTTGTTTCATAATTGTTGTCAAATAGATAAAGTTTATTATCATGTACTCTTATTATACAACTTGAAGGATTTTCTTAGATTGCCTACAGGTGGTCTTAAATAATCCAGCTAGATTGTGAAATGGCATGAATAGTGGAATCTTTCCTCTTTCGAGCTACAATAGATATATGGGCGAGTTATTACCAGGCATAAATAAGGTGTTATCACTGGCATAACATGTACTGTGGGACAACCAGATAGCTCATGTCTTGATTCAAGCTAAGTTTCAGGAATATATGTGTACTGCCAAACATACAGGCCTACACACAAACTAAATATGACTCGAGTACTGATATCGCTTAAAATCTAATGTCTGTTTCAACATGCTGAGACTGCTCAGTTACTGTATTATACAGAAAAATGGTAACAGTATATGTGCAGATGTAAGATTGGATACCAATCGATGAAATAAAATATCATCATACTTGTACTGAAATATGAATCAATTCGGTTTCTTTAAGCATGGTAAAGTTAGAACATATTACACACCCTGTAAAAACAATACCTGGTATTTGTCTCGGGGCCCTTTTCTTAGTATATAAATATCAAAGAATTAACTGTCAACATGAACAAATTTTATGAATAAAAGTGTCAATAATCACAAGATAATGTTCAGACTTCAAATTACTTCATTGCTGGCTAATTAAAAGTTATTTATAAACTCATATTTTTAATAGAAAAATGTTTAGAAGTTGTTCATTCACAAGGCATTGCACAGCAATATAGACGTATGCTTTCAGTCACATGTATCAACATTTACAATTCAAATTGAAAAAGTAATGAAAATATTAAGGAATTCAGTTGATTTATTTATCTGGCAATATGCCCATGCCTGGTAATAACTCACTCATATCTTTAGTTAAGTATAAATGTTAACAAATGCATACCTGCTAAGTGACCTGATTTCATCGGATTACACCCAGAATGTTAGTCCTTAACCAGCTTTAACAACTTCACACGCTGGGTTACTATTTTCAATCTTTTCATCTGGAATTTTTTCGTACATTGGAAGGTATCGAAGTCATTTGGAATTGTCTAGACTTTTTTATCCTCTGCCGAAAGGAAGACGGTCCATTTCCTGTTTCATTTCTCAGTGACAGGAAAGTTGTTAGTTGTCTTTACATACTTGAATTGTTTTTTACAAATGTTTATATATAGACCGATGTGACCAAACTTATCTACAGGTAAGTAGAAAGATGTTTTTACACAAAGTTCAGTTGTTTTTAAAATCCCGTAGTCTAGATCACATTTGGAAGGTATATCTTCTTGAAAAAAGATGTCATTATCGGGACCTGCAGGTTCTACTATACTAAATGTGAAAAATTGAAAGATATTTGGGCATATATCAAATGTCATAGACAAATGAGTTGAAGAAGATAACCCCAGTGATCATGGACCAAACAATGAATACTGCACTCTTTGTAAATCGCATACAGTTAGATCTGATGCCAAGCTTATTTTATGGGTAGTGTTGTTGAAAAATCTTGCTATTTTTCAGTTTTGAATTTGGTGAAGAGTTTCCGGGATATCTTGGATGAGGATCAGCTAAACCTGCTGGCAGCACAGTTCTCAGACTATTAACTAATCCCTGTTGGTGATATTCAAGCATGTGAAAATGAAAGCAGGATTGAACAATACTGGGGACATACGAGTACAGTCGAAGACATCTTGTCTCAGAAACGAAGATTTCATGTGTTGTCTTGACTGGCAAAAAACAGTTGGTACTGCCAAATAGTAATACAGACTCAGAAAGAGCTTTAAAAAAAATACACATTAAATTTAGAGCAGATTTGCATAATGACACTTTGTGTGTCCTGCTAGGCTGTAAATTTAATCAACATGATTCTTGTCCTAAATATCAACCACCAGCAACTGTATAAGCTGCTGCATAATCTGTTACACCTGACTACAACAAGAGCTGTCAATGAATGGTCTTACTGTAGACTACACCTGAATACAACAAGAGCTATAATGACACTTTGTGTGTCCTGCTAGGCTGTAAATTTAATCAACATGATTCTTGTCCTAAATATCAACCACCAGCAACTGTATAAGATGCTGCATAATCTGTTACACCTGACTAAAACAAGAGCTGTAAATGAATGGTCTTACTGTAGACTACACCCGACTACAACAAGAGCTGTCAATGAATGTTCCTACTGTAGACTACAACTGACTTCAACAAGAGCTCTCAATGAATGTTCTTACTATAGACTACACCTGACTACAACAAGAGCTTTCAATGAATGGTCTTACTGTAGACTACACCTGAACACAACAAGAGCTGTCAATGAACGTTCTTACTGACTACAACAAGAGCTCTCAATGAATGTTCTTACTATAGACTACACCTGACTACAACAAGAGCTTTCAATGAATGGTCTTACTGTAGACTACAACTGACTACAACAAGAGCTGTCAATGAACGTTCTTGCTGTAGACTACACCTGAATACAACAAGAGCTGTCAATGAATGTTCCTACTGTAGACTACAACTGACTACAACAAGAGCTCTCAATGAATGTTCTTACTATAGACTACACCTGACTACAACAAGAGCTGTCAATGAATGGTCTTACTGTAGACTACGCCTGAATACAACAAGAGCTGTCAATGAATGTTCTTACTGTAGACTACTCCTGAATACAACAAGAGCTGTCAATGAACGTTCATACTGTAGACTACACCTGAATACAACAAGGGCTGTCAATGAATGGTCTTACTGTAGACTACGCCTGAATACAACAAGAGCTGTCAATGAATGGTCTTGCTGTAGACTACACCTGACTACAACAAGAGCTGTCAATGAACGTTCTTACTGTAGCCTACACCTGAATACACCAAGAGCTGTCAATGAACGTTCTTACTGTAGACTACACCGGAATACAACAAGAGCTGTCAATGAATGTTCCTACTGTAGACTACAACTGACTTCAACAAGAGCTCTCAATGAATGTTCTTACTATAGACTACACCTGACTACAACAAGAGCTGTCAATGAACATTCTTACTATAGACTACACCTGAATACAACAAGAACTGTCAATGAACGTTCTTACTGTAGACTACACCGGAATACAACAAGAGCTGTCAATGAATGTTATTACTGTAGACTAAACCTGAATACAACAAGAGCTGTCAATGAACATTCTTACTATAGACCACACCTGAATACAACAAGAGCTGTCAATGAATAGTCTTACTGTAGACTACACCTGACTATAACAAGAGCTGTCAATGAACATTCTTACTATAGACCACACCTGAATACAACAAGAGCTGTCAATGAATGTTATTACTGTAGACTACTCCTGAATACAACAAGAGCTGTCAATGAATGTTATTACTGTAGACTACACCTGAATACAACAAGGGCTGTCAATGAATGGTCTTACTGTAGACTACACCTGCATACAACAAGAGCTGTCAATGAACGTTCTTACTGTAGACTACACCGGAATACAACAAGAGCTGTCAATGAATGTTATTACTGTAGACTACACCTGAATACAACAAGAGCTGTCAATGAATGTTCTTACTGTAGACTCCACCTGACTATAAGAGCTGTCAATGAATGGTCTTGCTGTAGACTACACCTGACTACAACAAGAGCTGTCAATGAATGTTCTTACTGTAGACTACAACTGACTACAACAAGAGCTCTCAATGAATGTTCTTACTGTAGACTACACCTGACTATAAGAGCTGTCAATGAATGGTCTTACTGTAGACTGCACCTGAATACAACAAGAGCTGTCAATGAATGTTCTTACTGTAGACTACACCTTTTGCATCAACAAAATATTGAAGTTCTAATTTAATATCTACTGGTTTTATATTTATTGCCGAAAAAAGACGTCACACGCTATGACCCTCTCTTTTATTTTCAAAAGAGTGACATCACCCTTTTTCGGTATAGCCGGGGTTGGCAGGTATGCTAATGATATTTCAATGTTCTGTAATAAGCCGATTTTCCACTATGAGATTGTATATTGGGCTTATTGCTGGATAAATATGGTATATCCATCTGTGTCTTATCAAATGAGAACAAATTCCTCTCGTATGAAATTTCATGATCATGCTATTATGAGGGTGATTGCGCATCTTCTTAGCTCCCCTTAGCTGATCTTTATTCTCTTGGATGGACTGGTACTATCTTCACTGCTTTCTCTTCTCTTTTTTGATCTAAGAAAAAAATACAAAAATATAGACATCCACTATCTGTATTATTGACATACAGTAATTATATAAAACCCCACTTCTTCGAACTCGGTTTACTCAAATACCCCTCATTCGTCGAACAGTTATTTGGTCCCGACTGAGTTCGTACATATTCTTTGTAAACCTCCAATATCCTGCTGTAATCCTCGTACAAAAATTTGTCCCCAACTCTTCATAGTCATAGTGTTAATCCTATCTATAGGTCGTGTGACCTGTCATGCCTGACAGATATTTTACCCGTGTATCACAGGTACCAACACTACCATTAAAATGTCTCGAGGCACAGGCTGCGGTCCACCCTCATTGTGCTTATACAGGTGCCAGCTGGACGTCAGATAATTAGAGGATTAACAGCAGTATCATTAAGTAACTGTATCGTTTCCCTGTTGTAGCTGCATTAAAATTTTGTGTGCATATTTATAATTTCCAGTCGATGTTTTGACATCAATGATTTAGCGGAAGTGTAAATTCACTATTGTTTAAAACCATATTTCGACATGGCAATATTTAGCGGAAATCACATAGCGGAATTCAACCAAATTTAAAGATTTTAAAACTTGAATACGTCGTGATTGTTAATTTTGTGTTATCAATCAACATTATGATAACAAGGATTCAAGTTTTTCTTCATTTTAAAACGATCGAAGAGTTCCTCTCATTTTAATATTCTGTAAAATTGACATAGCCGTTTACAGAATGATGGACTATATCAAAACGACAAGTATGTTATACATGCTGCTTTTTAATCTCGTTAAGTTTCTTAATACCGATGGCTGTATGTTTTCATTGTTTAGCTATTTTAAATCTTATTAAATATTATCATTTTGATTAAACTTTTTTTTTCCTTCTGTCATCTACTATCTGCAATAGTTGCAGTGCTCGTACTGTACGTTGTCCCATCTGATAAAACAAATGACGATGTTGGTCGAACCTCGGATTCGTCGAATACCATGTATTCCTCAACTATTGATCTGGACCCTACGAGTTCGAGTAAACGGGGTTTTACTGTATATGGATGTAAAGACTTTTCTTTTAAAAAACTGTACAGTGCTTATATTTTTTGTGGAGCTTTTACTTTCCCTTTATTTGCATTCACAAAAAAGTAAGGTTTTCATTGTTGCAAATACAGGTATATGGAAAATAGAAAACCTATATAGAAATACTGCAAATTAATGTCCTGTTCAAGAGCATGACTATGGAGCATTAATGATTATTAAACTAAAAACATTCAGATCAGAGATGTTCCTTTATTAAAAAGGGAAAAACCTAGTGGTTTGATAAAAAATTGTGAGAGAAAACCTTGAATTTGCAATGCCTGCATTAACATTTTTACAGATCTGCCTGCATCAGCTATTACTTCTTAAATTTACATTAAACAAAAAACAAACAAAACCCAGAAAAACATATCTTTCTGCAAAAACAAATGGGTCACATGACCTTACCATATCATTCATAATGACAAGCATAGCATTGGAACGTAATTACAGCTTGCAATAAGATAGAATATATGTACATGCATGTATAAAAAATGAATAATATGCTACATGAAAAATAATGAATTTTATTATTCACATCTAAATGATAGAATTTTTCCGAAGGATTTTTGAAAATTAGGAAATCTGGATTTAAGTCAGGGTGACATTAATTTCTCCTTACACGTGTTAAGAAACAGAAAATTAGTGTACCTTGTATCCATAGTTGTCTGCAGACTGATGACCACATTCTCGGCAGCCTCCTGATCCTGGGCCGCTGTATGTAGGTCAATCTGTAGGATATCTAGATAAAACAAGGGTATTTACAGCATTTGCCACACAAATATTGGGGTGTTTTTTACACACAAAAACAGCTGGTTTATGGCAACTATGACCGTTCGCACTTTTAAAATATACATATTTAGACAAACAAATTCCAAATATGTATACCAATATTGCATCAATGCAGAATAGTTGTTAAGTTTTAAAAATCAAGATTTTTGACAAAGACTTAATGGATTGTGTTTTCAGTTTTAGGTAAAAAAATCAAGTATCAGGATATGTAAACCAAAATTAAACTGCAATATCAATATCAGATTTTAAAAAAAGAGTGAAAATGACGATCTTACATTCAGCTCCAGTAACTCAACATACTATTTGCCCCTTTGTTGTTACCTACCTGCATTTCCATCCTCAGCATTTGCCCCGCTTTGTTGAAAAATTTGCTCAACTTCCTCTTCATGCTCACTATCAGTCTCCAAGGCAACTTGAGTTTCAACATCTTTCCGCTGTAGAAATGAATGTTTTTCTTGAATACGCAACACATAAAAACTTGTTAAGTATGACATACACAACACTAGAAAATGACAAATCACTACTGAATACAGCTGAACCCGTTCATAATGAAATTTGCTATATTGAAAAACTGCTTTAATTTGAAATGCTACAATATTCCCCTTCATTTACTTAAGCTGTATCAAAAACTTTATCAATTTAAATTTGTTTATTTTAATGGCATTTGTTGGTCCTACAACAGGAAGAAAGAGGGGAACAAGCAAATTTGGGAATTTATATACCCTGCTTGCACGACATATTGTAGGTAAACATTATCGAGGTTAGGTTTAAACAATGTGAGTATCACGTAGCGTGCTGTTGAGACATAATGTATAGCTTGAAACTTGGAAGAAGAAAAAAATCCTTATATAGAAGTTGGACTTTTTATTGAACATGTAGGTATTAAGGTGTAAATTAAACTGAAGAAAGCATAGTGTAAATATTTGCAAGAGTTAATGAACAGAAACGGCAGATAATGACGTTTTTCGTTATTCAAGGGGCCATAACTCCGCCAAATAAAGTCTGCTAAAAGTGGTCATCAAACTTTGCTTTATAGCCCTTAAGGCATTTAAACCAGTTAACAAGTTTGAAGAAAATCGGTTAACATTTGTTGCAGTTATTGCATGGAAACAAAGCGTGACAGACAGACAGATAGACTGACAAACCCAAATTACTATCCCCGTTTCGGTGAAAGCTGGGGATATAAACGAGAAATGTACTCTAGATCTTGCAGGTCACAAGAAGGACATCAGAAAAGCTCAAGCAAGAGGAATCATTTAGATTTCGATATGACTGGGCTTAGCAAGCAGTTGAAAATGGGGATGCTGAGATATATATTGGAAAACTGTCAATGTTTGCTGTGACTGAGTTCAGCGCAACCAACCTCATCACCAGTCTGCTGTTGTAAATCCTGTAGAACCGATTCTGAGTCTGGGTTAGGCATAGTAGCAGTTGCCAAGGACATCCTTATAGTCTGGTTGTCAAGGTTCCCACCACTAGTTACCTGTAAAATGGAGTCAGGATGGCCATCCTCCACCTGTACAAGATAATACAGGTAATTCTATTTTGAACAAAATCAGGGCAACCATTACCATTTCCCTCCTAAAAAGTTATTTGTACCCAAGTAGTTCCAAAGCAAACTTTATTATGCATTAAGCATATGCAGAGCGAAAGTTATAAATTATAACACCAAGTGGAATAATCTGCATTTACTGTACATTATCTGACATATCTGTCAAACTATGGTGCTTTTTTTAGATTTTCTGGCTTCATTTAATACCACTATTGTCATTAAATGATCAACAATTATACAGGCATATCTAATTTTCAATTGGTCTTCAAAATGTACAGAATTTAGGTTTATAACATTTTCTCCATACAAAACGTTTATTTCTTTTAATTCAGCATACATTTACCAAATTATATGTATACACCAACTATTCAGTCAGAACGTTTTTTCTCCTTACCTGGTCTCTATCCTCAGTCATCCCCATGAGGACACACCCTTTTTCTCCCTACCTGGTCTCTGTCCTCAGTCATCCCCATGAGGACACTTTGTCTCCTTACCTGGTCTCTGTCCTCAGTCATCCCCATGAGGACACACACTTTGTCTCTTTATAATTACCTGGTCTCTGTCCTCAGTCATCCCTATGAGGACACACACTGTCTTCTTACCTGGTCTCTGTCCTCAGTCATCCCCATGAGGACACACACTGTCTTCTTACCTGGTCTCTGTCCTCAGTCATCCCCATGAGGACACACACTTTGTCTCCTTACCTGGTCTCTGTCCTCAGTCATCCCCATGAGGACACACACTTTGTCTCTTTATAATTACCTGGTCTCTGTCCTCAGTCATCCCCATGAGGACATCCTCCACATCTTTCTCATGGGCAAGACTTTGTAGCTTGGATGTGACCTCCTCGACCCTCCCGTCTGGGTGTACTATAACTATCTTGGGTGTGTTTCCCAGTTTTCCTTCTCTCATCTCTGTGAGCAGACTACCCTGTAACAGTTGTTCAGCAGTGAGTGGGGATGAGAGACTCTCACGTAACCGTCCCTGGCCAGCAAGGTCCTTGTACTGAAGGCTATCAGGGTCATGTTGTTGCATGTGACGCATCAAGTTGCCCTTATGAGCAAATGTCTTGTCACATTCATCACACTCGTACATCTTGTCACGCGTCTCTGGCGGGCTGTACTCCGGTGAGTGGTACAGGTTTATGTGTCGGCGTAACAACTGCTTTTGGCGAAACGTCTGACCACACTCCTTACAATCAAATGGCTTTTCGCCTGTGGTACATAGAAATTTTACCAGTTTTCATTAGCTATGCATGATTCAAAAACCTAAAGGTGTTAATGTCAGAACATTTGCTATACATGTATATTATCACAATACACAGGTCAATGCATTATATCACACACTACAGAAAAACAAAATACCTCAAAAATAATCAATTGTGTATAGGTTCATTGTGTATAGGTTCAATGAAAATCTTAAATCTTGAAAATCCGTATCACCTACGATTGATTGACAGCAGTTTGGAAACCTATATATATATAGCTATTCTTCAGGAAATTACATCCCAATGCTAGGAAAATTTATATATTTACCTGGTGACAACATATTTTGCTATGTACCACAATACATTCCTTTTGTATTGATTTGCAATATCTTGTGATATACTTGTCAGGAGAGTATGCTACTCTATATGCACTATATACCCACCTGTCTGTGTATTGGACTCTTCACTATACATCTACCTGCATACCTTTTCCAGTATCAGACTCGCACTATATATATATATATACCCATATGTATGTGTGACTCTCCACTATTTTTATGTGACTGTGCATGTGGATATCAAACTCTCAATTATACCCATATACGAGTATGTAACTCAATCATTCTCACCTGTCTATATATACACATAATTGTATATGTACGTGACTCTTTACCTCTTCTATATACACCCCGGTTTATTGGAGTATCAGAATCCCCACTACCTATAGTACTCACCTGTGTGTGTGAGTATGTGACTCTCCAGGTGACGGAGCGACTGAGCAGCGTAGTCACACTGCTCACACTTGAAGCACTTCTCTCCCTCATGACTTTTCATGTGTAATTTGTACTGGTATCTGTCTGGGCAGGTGCTCCCACACTTCTTACAAGTCAAAGGTTTTGCACTGCTGTGTAGCTTTGACATGTGAATTTTTAAATCTGTTTTGCGACCACACGTTGTTGGACACAGGTGACACAGAAACACAGGTTTATTACCGGAGTGGATGAGTTTGTGAGCTTTGAGACTGTTGCTCTGAGTGAATCGTGCATGACATACGTCACATTCGTAGGGCTTTTCCCCCGTATGTATCCGCAAGTGTCGCTTGAGCTTGTATGTATCAGGACTGGCATAATTACAGTGGGGACAATGATACGGACGCTCACCTGTGTGTGAACGCATGTGTCTCTTCATCTTGCTAAGCTCTACACTAGCATAGTCACACTCGGTACACTTGTGGGGCTTCTCGAATGTATGTTTGTAACGAATGTGCCTGACAAGTTCACCTGAGGTGGTGAACGCTGAGCCACACCCTTTACACTTGTGAGGCCTAGTGCCGGTGTGTGTGTTCACATGATTCTGTAGGGAAGCCATTGTCTTGAATCCACGATCACATATGTTACACTTGTGTGGTCGGTCTTCTGAGTGGGTCTTCATGTGGCGCATCAATAGGTATCGCTTAGGACTTGTGTAATCACAGTAGTGGCACATAAGCTGTGCTTGGTTGGATACTGGCATTGACATACGCTTTGGCACAAATGTTATGATACGGCGAGTCGTCCCGTCCTCCTGAACGACTTCTTCCACCATTTCTTGTGTTTCATCCTTCATGTCTAGCATACTGCTCATATCAAGGGACAGCTGTTTGGGTGAACCAATGCTATTGCCATCATCCTTATCGGGCTGTGACACAATCAGCACGTAACTCATTTCTCCACTGGGATTCATCTCGGAGGGTACAATGGTAACCGTTTGGAAGTTGTTATCACCTGTGTTTAGGACAATTGAGTTGGAGTGGTTTTCTACCTCTGCACCCAAGATTTCCATGGCACCTTCTTGAGCCTGAACAGCAACCAGCTGTGGCTGTGAACTGTCAGCCGAGTTCTGTAGAGCTACGACCTGTGCTGAATTTAGCTCTGTCTGACCCACCTGTGGGAATATCATGCATAAGGGTATGAACTCAAATTTCTCTCCCCCTTACACAAAAAATATTTCCATACTAAGAAAACATTATGTGCAAGTATGATTTGTTTAGCTTAACTCAATACCACTGGATATGCTGTTTCAAATAATAAAGTATTCATTAAACATTATTTGCTTACGAATGACAATATTTGATAAGTCTTTAACATAGTAATTAACAATATTGAATGGGAAATTTACTGCCATGAACACATAACATTTTGTATTGTATAAAATGTTCTGAATTTATTTTATTTTATTTTATATGCATAGTACTGCAGGTCAAGTTATAGTACATGTTATTTTGAGTAAAACTGATATTACAGCCCTAGTCTTTGATATAAGGATGTTGTACCGTAATTGTCTGTAGCTGGTTGAGTGTGGAAGTGTTGGCCGCAACAGAGGCCAGAACAGCAACAGGATCTGAGCCATTCCCAACAGTGTTAGCGAGTTCCTGTACAAACACACAAGTACAGCATCCAATTACTTACAACAAAAATATCATAAAACAAGCATGTTCTTGGTATTCCATTCCTCACATGATTATTAGAAAAGCATTCCTTCAATTCTGAAAACGACATATGCAAATGACAGGTATTTATTCTTCTGTATTTATAGGGATTTGCCAACTTTTGTGAGTTGGCAAAATGCTGATAGCATACTAAAGTATCAAATTTTATCGAGATTTGGATTTTTTTCTGCTTTTTTACAGTTGGTAAAATTTTCTCAAGTGTTAAAGCATTTATTAGAAAATAAGGAATAGGACATTTCATTCTGCTAGCAGCAAAATTTCTTTCAAAAATTGTAGAGGAAAAGTGTCTAAATCTCATTTAAAAAGCAACTGGGGCTGAATTTTGGCCCCAAAATATGCAGACATGAAAAACTCTTAAAAAGCAGGTGAAAATCTAAGAAACACATGGAAAACTGTAGCAACCAGAACACAATTCATGACACTGGTCACTGTATAAAGCCACTACAATGTCCTAGATATCTGGATCACTGCCACTGTCACTGAACGTACCTGTTCAATGCTGTCTGTGAGAGTGGTAGACACAGCAGGGATGTGTATGAGTTGACCGGTGCTGGTGTTCAGTCCTGTGGTCAGACCTGTAGCTCCAGCATCCACTAGCTGCATGTGCTCCTGACCGTCGATGGACACAACATGGACAATCTTCTGCTCCCCATCTCCTGAATCACTTACAGGGATCTCAAGTTGCTACAAAAAAACAAAACAAAAACAATTCAAAGCCCATTATGAGCTTACAGGATTTATGCAAAAAAGGATGAAAATTGGATTTTGTAATCCTTTCTACAAGAAAAAATTGAAGGTTTCATTACAAAAAATAGCATTAAAAAGAATGAATTTAAAAAAAATAAAAATACACCTCTCTGATATAATAAAGAATTGTTATCTATTCTCCAGATTACCAGATCATACTAATTTTGAATCTCTGCTGCTGGTTCATTAACTCATTTACCTTTTTATTTTTTTAACAGGACTTGACAAGTCTTTGATATAGTAAGGTTCAAATGTGACTTCAGGGGTAAATGGGTTACGTTAAACCTTGTTTGATAACAAGCTTCCATATTAACCTTAACATGGTCAACTTCATTTCTTTTTAATTCAATTGTCACTCAAGGTTCATACTTTCATAAAGCACTCTGTCTGTTTGTTGTTTACTGCCTTGGTGAGTTCCTCCACATTGGTCAGTTTTGTAACTTGACCCTGGGCAGCCAGCTCTGCCATGTGTGCCTGGACTTCTGCCATACTGATACAGTTGGTCACACCCTGGTCAATACCGGGGTCCTCCAGGTCAACAGACACTTCATCGGGTTGGCCATTTGCAATTGGTTGAGTTTGACCACCGACATCAGGAGTTGTCTCCACCTGACTTAGCTGCTGAACAGCTTCACTTATATCCATAGTGGTACCATAAGGAAGTTTCAGATCTGAAAAACAAAATCAAACACTGAAAATTTTCACATTTATCTAAACAATCATATTGCAATATTTACAAAAAGTAATGATTGAAATAAATGATTTCATCAAATTATAAGAAAAGTATAAATATTATACTTGTGTAATTCAAACTTAAATACTTCACCCAATACAATATTCTTGTTTAAAAATTCAACCTACTATAGGTGAAAATATTTCACTTACCATGACGACGTTGAACATGTTCACATCTATCCAAAACAATCAGATTTATTTTTACAGAAGGTACTAAAATTAATTATATCATCTGATTATCAAAAAAAGAAAAGTATAAATATTATTCTTGTATTTCAATTACCCTCAGCTGAAAAAAAAACTTATTTTCTATACATTTCAACCTACTTCAGGAGATATAGAGAATAATACATGCCTTTTTCCATATCACACCCAGTATCAACCCGGGATAGCAATATCAGCCTGATGGCCAAAGGCCAGATGTTGGTAGTGAGTTGATACTGGGTGTGATATAGACAAGGCATGTTTTATTCCGTTTATTACATACTTACTTATAAAAGCTACGATCTTATTATCTGGGTTTTTTTTGGAAATATTGAAAAACGAAAAAATGTCCAAAAGGAGTGTGATACAAGTTTTTCGGGCTGATACGGAGAGGGCTGATATGGGTTAGAGCAATAGTGTCGTATCACATATATATATACAAAAAAAACGTATTTATTAGTAAATATGTAATAAAACATTTTATATTAATATACTTACAAACAAAAACAAATGTACATGTAGGTTTGCTCTAATGGAATACAAGTTTCTCAAAAAAAAAAAAATTCAATCAAAGCTTTTCCCTAAAGATAAAGCTCTGTGATTTTAATTTTACTCGATATTCCTGTTTTATTTCCAAAACATTTCATCAAATAAAGATTTTGTTTCATAACAACTCGTTAGACTCACTCACATGAGTATCAATGATTTTTTTTATCTTTATTTAAATATATTTACCAACAACATTGACAACATTTTCCACATTTCCAGAGTCTATTGGCTCCACTTTCTGGGCTTCTATGGTGATGAACCCGGACTCTGTCTGAACATCTGTTAAGGCTTCCCCAACCACCACACCAGCAGTGTCCGCTCCTACTGTAAATTGATCAGGATCATCAGTCTGTTCGATTTCTTTGTTAAAGGAAACCAGGTAATGTTGTAGATCATTGAGATTGACTGGAACACCCGGGCTCTCTGAAGGATTTTCATTTCCTGGATCCATCTTGAGGTTCAACAAAACTTTCTTTTCTGAAATATATAAGATGTATTTTAATGTTGGTCATCTTATTTTTTTTTCAAATGTTTCCAAAATTTCAATTTGTGAAGACAGAAAACCCCAGAAAGAGGCTAAATACAATAAGTTTTAGTAATTTAAATAAAACCTTGACCTGTTAGTACTTTACACTTGGTCTCATTAATATTGGACTGGCAATCTGCATGTATACCAACATAATCTTGTTCAATATATGTACATCTTTGTAATAACATCTAAAACCATGGTGATATCTCCTGTTATGAATTAATATTTGCTGTGTCTAGTCCTAACAATATTTTTTATACCGAAGTTATTTATCATTATATGCACTTTATTTTATTCTGTGCTCAAAACTCAAAATGCAGGTTTCTTCCCTGTGTAATTTGCTGTTCCTACACGAATTGTGAAACTATAACATTGTTTTCATTGAAATTAAGAAAATATTGCCCTCTTTTCTCTTCTTTCTTTTGGGAAAGTAACACTTTCATTGCTATGAAAAGCATCCTGTATTCAGCTGTACAGCTAGTATGTATCTATAGGCAAAAATATAAGTTTTGCTTCAAATTGTTTTGAGATTGTGAAAAAAATAAAACCTATTTTTCGTTTTTTCAAAAACATTTGTCAATGTAAAGAGTAATTTGTGAATGAAAACGGACCCTAACGATAGTTCCAGAAGTTAAACATTTGTACTTAAAAACGTGACGATGTTACGGGCGTTTCCTCGTTTTCGACCATCCAAACCAAAATATATTCACTACAAAACGAACGCATGTGGATAATGAGTTTTCATGAAATATCTCACAGCAAAAAAAGTAGCATGTTCACGTTACGTGTGTATCTACCGTGTGGGTGTGTCCCATAGTTTGTTGCTTACGAGCACTTGTATTTTATGTGGAAAATAATGGCGGACCAAACTCTCATAAATAAACAAGTCATCTCTTCGAGTTTATTATACACTTTGAGTCGAATTAACCTCACAGTGAAATCTGAAACGATTACATAATCTTGACCTGTAAAACAAACTGAAAGTGGAGGGTTATCTCATTTCGAAGGTACAGCGCCACCGTGCAGCAATGATTTTTGACCAGCGCCCTCTGCTAAAGCTGCTTCTCGCCGACAGGGGACAGGCTGCTCCTCAAAATATTGGCGATTTCTAACTTGAAAACGTGATATATTTACCTGTCTATGATTCCGATAACCCGGGGAATGTTTTAAGACTGTTTTCATCCAATAGTTGTAACGATTAACGTAGGAAGTTTCGATATTTGGCCGTGGTGTTTTTCGAACTGAGAGAAAAATCCAAAATGGCGGCTCTAAAGGGAAATGTGACAAGGCCGAACCAACGATAATGATTGCCTTTGGGCATTGGTTGTTGATTTCTGGTGTCGAGCAGAATTTTGTAATATTGGTCGGGAACAGAACGTAAAAAAATAATTTACTGTAGAAAAATGGTGTATTTTTATCATGATTGCGCTGTTTACCTCAAATATTTTCCATTTTCGTCACCTGAGGGCGTTGTTTTTATGACCTAGATTGTTTCCGCGATCCTCTGAAGGCTTGCATACGATTGCGCACGCGTGCCTAAGTGGTTTGAAATTTAAAAAAACGCGGGATTTCCGAAATGTTCATTTTATCATTTTTACAGTTATTGACGATGAATGGCATTTTTCACAAGATAATTTGGTACGGGAAAGTATATTAAAAATTTAAAAACTCCCCGGCACTCGGTTTACTTTGATCTTGTCAAAGTCATCTTTTAACAACTTAGATAGAACCAGAGACGTATCTATGTGTTAGATAGAACTCGGTGCTGAAACATTCAAATTTCTATTAGATTTTTTAAAAATAGACCTACTAGCAAACTTATTTCCCCTTTTAATTCACACAAGATTATAACATAGGAGGTAACTTATGTGTGCCTCAGTTGGGAGTTACCTAGATCATGATTTTCATTTTGTTAAAAAGAAGGAAAACCCCCAGATGTGTCATTGAAAGTAATGAAAACCGGTAAGTGCGATATAATATGGCGTTAATTTCGATGTGTACTTTTACAAAAAGCCGAAAAATTAAAACATCACAAAATAAAATAAATAAATAAAAATAATTCGTTGTACTGATCTTTTATTTTTTAACAAACTCGTGAAAACTTATGTTATTTGTGGATCAATTTCTTGTCTCTTGTATCGCTAATAATGAAGCGCCTTGATCTCCTCCCCCGATGGAGGGGACGCTCTTGTTTGTCTTTTTTATTCTTCAAAAGTATAGGCGCGTGTCTATCTATAGCACTTTATTTAAAATGATATATGTATCCTTGTATTTTCGTCTCAATTCAAACATGTAAAAACACAGTTGAAACGTAAACCAGAGTTTCATAAAACCCGTGCATATAGGACATGAGAAATATCATTCAAGAAGACCATTTCTTCAAGGTTTGAAGAAGATGTTAAAGTCTATTTACTAGCGCTTCTCTAGATTTGTGTTTATCAGTTGGAGTAAACACGTTGGTGGACAACTCTGTTGCTCTACTAATTGTCATACATGTTTATATTACCCACCTTTATTAATTAATTATGTTACGTTATAACTACACAGGTAAAGCGCATATATCGCATACATATGTGGGCGATGTAAGGAATGTGACTGCTTGTCATCTGGCCTGGATTGAAGCCACGACGTACTATACGGTTTATCTTAATTTTATAAACGCTCATCTGTACCAGATACATATATTACATTGTAATATAGTCTCTGTCTCTACGTTGTTTTCTGTGTGAAAATAAGTTTACGCCTTTTGCTATAACGCATTGTTGTTGAAGAATAGCATTACTGACCCAGGCCTGATGTTGGCCACACATAATTAGGATGGGGAATAGTTTTTTAGCTCAGCTGCCCGAAGGGCAAGTGAGCTTATGCCATGGCGCAGCATCCGTCGTCCGTCTTCCGTCCGTCAACTTTTCCTTTAAAAACACTACTTTAGTCCTGAACGGCCCAGATAACTAATCGGTAGTGAAGCGGACGTAAATCAATCAATCGAACGGCCCAGTAGATTTTGACTAAATTTGGTCTGGAGCATCCTTGGACCAAGGGCACTCAATTTATGAGGGCAGAGGGTGGGCTCAATAGGGGAAATAGAGATAAAACCTTTAAAATCCTTCTACCATAGGGATTGAGGGATTTCATCCCATTTTGGTCTGAAGCATCCTAAGGCCAAGGGCACTCAATTTTGTATAAACGGTGGGTGTGGCACCACTAGGGCAAAGGGGTGGGGCCCAATAGGGGAAATAGAGGTAAAACCTTTGAAATCATTCTCCTACAATAGGGATTCAATATTTTATCACAATGTTGTCCCCATCAAGCTGTCTAGTAGTGCCTGTTACTATAAGGATGTATTCATTAAAACAAGATGACCACCAGGCCGCCATCTTGGATTTTGTCATTTGAAGTTGTTCTCGCTATATCTCCAGATATACTGGATTGATCTTTCTGAAATTTCACATGTGCATGCAGTACCTACCAAGGAGTGCTAGATCTTTACTTTTATATCAAGTACTTTTAACATATATCTATGTGAGCGATATATGCCCTCTGGGCTTCTTGTAGTCCGAATTATTCTGACGTTTTATCGACTTTTTTTCATATCGGTCTGTCGTCGATTAACCGACGACAGACCGATATGAAAAAAGTCGATAAAACGTCGGAATAATTCGGACTAGGTTTCTTGAGGTAACTATTATCATTTTGAAAAATACAGAATATTAAGTTCAGTTTACAAAACAAACATGATTTTCTAGTTGGCACTTTTAATGCCTAAGGTAGGTAATGGGGTTATAAAAAATGATATTTTATCTGCTCTAGAAGAATATTGAAATTTAATTTAAAAATACAAAACAGATTTAATCAATTTCTAGCATTGTATTTAGAATAGATGTACGGAAGAAAGAAAGTTCGTTAGAAACAGTGTTCTCTCTGAAGGCGATCGTTTTCTGTTTGTTTTGTTGTTGTATACTACAATCACTGATTATGTATACTACAATCATTGATTATGTACACTACAATCACTGATTGTGTATACTATAATCACTGATTATGAATACTACAATCACTGATTATGAATACTACAATCACTGATTAAGTATACTACAATCACTGATTATGTAAACTACAATCACTGATTATGTATACTACAATCACTGATTATGTATACTACAATCACTGATTATGTATACTACAATCACTTATTATGAATACTACAATCACTGGTTATGTATAATACAACCACAATCACTGATAATTCTTCATTTTGTATACTACAATCACTGAATATGTATACCACACTAACTGATTATGTATACTACAATCACTGATTATGTATACTACAATTACTGATTGTGTATACCACAATCACTGATTATGTATACTACAATTACTGATTTTGTATACTACACTTACTGATTGTGTATACCACAATCACTGATTATGTATACTACAATCGCTGATTATGTATACTACAATCACTGATTATGTATACTACCATAACTGATTAAGTATACTACAATCACTGATTATGTATGCTACAATCACTGATTATGTATACCACAATCACTGATTATGTATACTTCAATCACTGATTTTGTATACTACAATCACTGATTTCGTATACTACAATCACTGATTATGTATTATACAATCACTGATTATGTATTATACAATCACTGATTATGTATACTACCATCACTGATTATGTATACTACAATCACTGATTATGTATACTACAATCACTGATTTTGTATACCACAATCACTGATTTTGTATACCACAATCACTGATTATGTATAATACAATCACTGATTATGTATACTACCATCACTGATTATGTATACTACAGTCACTGATTAAGTATACTCCAATCACTGATTATGTATACTACAATCATTGATTGTGTAAACTACAATTACTGATTATGTATACTTTAATCACTGATTATGTATACTACAATCACTGATTAAGTATACTACAATCACTGATTAAGTATATTACATTCATTGACTATGTATACTAAAATCACTGATTATGTATAATACAACCACAATCACTGATAATTCCTCATTTTGTATACTACAATAACTGATTATGTATACCACAATCACTGATAATTCCTCATTTTGTATACCACAATCACTGATTATGTATAATACAATCACTGATTATGTATACTACAATCACTGATTGTGTATACTACAATCACTGATTATGTATACTACAATTGCTGATTGTGTATACCACAATCACTGATTTTTTATACTACAATTTCTGATTATGTATACTATAATCACTGATTATGTATACTACAATCACTGATTTTGTATACTACAATCACTGATTATGTATACTAAAATCATTGATTGTGTATACTACAATCACTGATTATGTATACCACAGTCACTGATTAAGTATACTCCAATCACTGATTATGTATACTACAATCATTGATTGTGTATACTACAATTACTGATTATGTATACTATAATCACTGATTATGTATACTACAATCACTGATTAAGTATACTACAATCACTGATTAAGTATATTACATTCATTGACTATGTATACTAAAATCACTGATTATGTATAATACAACCACAATCACTGATAATTCCTCATTTTGTATACTACAATAACTGATTATGTATACTACAATCACTGATAATTCCTCATTTTGTATACCACAATCACTGATAATTCCTCATTTTGTATACTACAATCACTGATTGTGTATACTACAATCACTGATTATGTAAACTACAATTGCTGATTGTGTATACCACAATCACTGATTTTGTATACTACAATTACTGATTTTGTATACTACAATCACTGATTATGTATACTAAAATCATTGATTGTGTATACTACAATCACTGATTATGTATACTACAATCACTGATTATGTATAATACAATCAGTGATTAAGTATACTACAATCACTGATTAAGTATACTACATTCATTGACTATGTATACTAAAATCACTGATTATGTATAATGCAACCACAATCACTGATAATTCCCTATTTTGTATACTACAATAACTGATTATGTATACCACAATCACTGATAATTCATCATTTTGTATACCACAATCACTGATTATGTATAATACAATCACTGATTATGTATACCACAATCGCTGATTATGTATACTACAATCACTGATTATTTTTACTCCAATCATTGATTATGTGTAATACAACTACAATCACTGATAATTCCTCATTTTGTATTCTTCAATCGCTGATTATGTTTACAACACTCACTGATTAATAAATCAAAAATGTTAAGCTGATTTTTCAGAATCCTAATATGATACCTATGCGCTGTTATCTGGACCACCGGGATTGCATAGCTGGGGGTCAAACTGTTATCTCTATTGCTTTGGTAAAGTTATAGATACAAACACATGCTTTCCTCGGTTTTTTAAGAGGTTAGAGAATTTTAGGAAAAACTGTTACAAAATTATCACTTTCTTAAAAACAAGCTATATTATGTT